TGCCGACATGAGTGACGCTCCTGTCGCTCCCTCCCCGAGAGGCAATGCAATGGAGGAGCTGACAGCAGGGACCAGGGACCGTTTGAGCCCCACTTCTGCCATTTCTTGCTAATTACCTGGTAACAAAATCGTGAAAATGCCAATGTTTTGCACAGCCACATGCACCCAGTAGGAGTTATGCTGCATCACAGCTAGACTGCAAACTGCCCTGAGGGCAGCAGGAGCTGCTGGTGGAGATCCTGGCTGCAAATTCAAACCCAACGCTACTTAACCCTCCGTACCTGCTTCCTCCACGGACAACGAGGGGAAGTCACCCTGTCAGACTCTTGTGAGGACTCCGCGTATCACCCACAAAGCACGCGGTGTCAGGGAGGCAGTGAACACTCAGTACACACTTCTGTTATTAACGCCGCCTGCCACCCACCCATCCATTTGAGTTTGAAACCCAGAGTTAAGGGTTTCAGACTATGAGGAAGGACCACTCCTAAGAGTGGGGCGGGAGGATGACTTGCCCTCCATAAAAACCATGGAGGGCTGTGGCCTTCCGTCCCAGGGAAGAGGAGAAGTGGGCTGTGGCTTTGTCGCAGCAGCAGAAACCACCATCTCACTCTGAACAGCTGGAAACCTGCCTGAAACCAGCTACCAAACTCAACACGGAGATGAGAGACTGTGGCCCAGGGGCGCCCACCAGGGAGACAACCCACGGCTCCTTGTCTTAAAAGCAACCCTGGACGCCGATGCTGACCAGACGCCAGCACCAGCCCCACCCGGCGCTTCCCACGCCTGTGCCACTCCTGTCTAGGGGCATCTGCATGCAAATTCGCTGGATTCCAACCAAGAGGTGGAACTGGACCGGGTCAGGGGCACTGTGTGCAGCCCTCAAACATTGTTACCCTAACCCACTCGGAGGGGACAGGAGACCCACCCTCCTGGCTGCCCTCCCCGCCCCAGGGAAAACGGGGGGTTGGGGGGGGAGTGTGGACCCAGAGGACCAGAACGGCCAGCAGTGCGACCGGAGCTGTCCCGCCGCTGCGTTCCGGGCACAGGACAGGCGGGCAGCACGCATTTGCTGAATGAATCGGCACCCACGCAGGTTAACTGAAAAGAAGCCCAGTCAGAACCCTGCTCAGCCACCCGCTGCTGTAAGCACAGCGGCGGTTCACCCGGAGCCCAGCTGCTGCTCAGACACGCACTGAGCCGCGTCCTCCCCTGTGCAGACGAGGAGCGTTGCAACCTGACCTCTGAGGCTCTGAGGACAGTGGTGAACTCCCCCGTACTGGGGGACACACCCAAGAGCTGCCACTTACTAACTCTGTGACTGTGGCCACATCTCTTCGTCTCTCCAAACCTCCATTTCCTCGGGGGAGGACATGGGAGCGATCACTGTGCCCACCTCACAGGGCAGGGGAGGGTGAGGCTCTCCCCTGGGTGAGGCCCAGTGCTCAGGCCTCTTGCCAAGGCCCCGAGGGCAGGCCGGCGTCACCCCACCCTGTCCATCACCCGTCCTTCCGCCTGGAACACTCTAAAGCCCAATGTCCACGGCCCCCCCCACATCCCCTCAGGTCTCTATTCGAGTGTCAGGTTCTCACTGAAACGTCCCTTTCAAACGGCAGTCCCACCCGTGCTCCCTGACTCCTTCCCCTGGTTTATTTTCCTTGTGGCACTTAGCACCACTGAACCTACGACTGCGTCATTTACTGTCTGGCTACCCCAAAACATTTGAACGTGAAATCAATAAAAGTACCTTTTTTAAATAAAAATACCTAACACTCCCTGAGCATGTCCTATATGCCAGGCTCCGTGGGAACGTGTTCGAGGTTTAAAACCATTAGTCCTCACACAAGCATGTCGAACTCACAGCCAGCAGGCTGCATAATAAACGAGGCATGCGGCCCGCCGGCCGCGAGTTTGACATGCCTGCATCACCTACTCAGGTAGGAGCTTTTACTGTGCCGTTTACAGGGATGAACACCGAGGCCCAGAGAAGTTAAAAAGCTAACCCAGATCACATGGTCAACACGCGGCAGACCCACGGCTCAAACCCAGCCAGCCTGGCCCGGCACTGCAGGCAGCCTCTCAGCCCCTGGGGCCCTGGAGCAGCCGCAGTGAAATGCAGGTGCCCGCGTCCACCAGGCAACTACGGCCCGGGTCAGGACGCAGCCGTGCCTTCAAGTCACTTCACAAGGGGGGCCGGTTGGTGTGTGGATTCTTGCCACGCTGTTGCTCTGCAATCACTTCACCAGTCCAGTCCCCAGAGAGGAGGCCTCTTGATGCCAGTGACTCTGCAGAAACTCTCGTGCATGGCACGGGCTCAGGTACCCCGTTCACTCACCAGGGCTGGGGGCAGCACCAGGGCCCCTCTCACTGCTGTTCCGCACAGATTCAAAGACAGCCCAGAGGAATTCTTTGGGGGGCAAGATCCCTACCATCTTGGAAGCTGCTTGCTGAAGGATATCGGGAAACTGTGTGAGGTAGAGAAGAGGAATGAGGAGCACAGTGAACACAAACTGAACGCCGGGTAAGCTATGCCAGCACTTACTGGCTCAGGTTTCCTTCCCTCATAGCAGCTTCTCACATCAATTTAACCCCAGCCCAACTGACCTGGTTTCTACAAAGGATCATATAAAACAACACTCAACCTCCGTAATAATTCAACAAATGTTCAATAATGTAAGTGTACGTCATTCACACAGGCTGGCGTGTGTGTGCACATGGCACCGGTGCACACAGACCTGGAACAAGCATGCGTGTAGAAAGAGCAGAGCGACAGCTAATCACAGCCAGCAGGCTGCGCGCCCGCTAGAGGGCACGTGGAGGGGTCGGAGCTCAGGCAGCGATGGCCACACTCCCTGGTCCTGCACCTCGGGGTCCTGGGGTGGAGCTGCCAACATCTGAGCCCTTGGGGCAGGGAGGACGTTCCAGAAAACAAACTGGCAGCAAACCCAGGGGAGTGTGACGGACCACACTGTCTCTCCCCTTCAGACCCCTCCAGCCTCAGAGCAAGCGAGCACAGAGGTACCTTTGCAGCAACAGAGCTTAATTCATCTCCTGAGAAAAGCACTAGGAAGGGTCCCAAGTCCTTCGTCGTCTCGGCCGTCCAGTTCTGAGGGGGTCTAAGAAGAGATAATCAGCAATAAATTGGAAGCCGTGCTGTTGTCCTTGTCCCCAGCAGCCTTTCTTTCAGAAACAGACTATCTTCCTGTGTGGAGAGACGGCCAATCACATGGGCCCACTTCCCTGGCCAAGCCAATGTGCATGTGATGCAGGCTGGCCAACCAGAACCATCCCTAGGAATTTTGATGGAACTACTAAAGAAGCTGTCTCTCTCTTTCTTCTGGTATCTGGAGTAGTAAAAAGGATATTGGAGGCCACTCCTATCACCAGTGGCGATAATAAAACCACACCCAAGAACACAGAGCTGAGTGATAGGAGAAAAATTCCTGATGATACCATTTGAGCTCCTGGACCCAACCATGCCTGAAGTCCATCCCTGCAGTTTTCCATTACATTCAATTTCTGAACTCAACAAATTCCCATTTGTAGCTTGAATTGAATTGTTAAATTTCAGTCATTTCCTTCTCCCCCTTCTTCAATAGAACAGTAATGACCTATGTGTTTCTTTAAATTGCCATAGAGTCTTCCCTTATAACTAGACAAAATGTCCTCTTGAAGTTGTCAGGATACTGACAGCACTAATACAGAATCCACTGCTATTCATACAGAGACCACAACTGTCTACAGTAAAGTGTCTCACACCATATTCGGTGGCATTTCTAGGGGGGTTGCCCAGTTAGTAGCGATAACCCCTCTCTTAGGCCTACACAAGCCAACCCTGGCCAAAAAGCTCCCCCTTATCTCTTAGATCAGCGGTTCTCAACCTGTGGGTCACGACCCCTTTGGGGTTGAATGACCCTTTTAAAGGGTCACCTAAGACCATCAGAAAACACATATATAATTACGTATTGTTTTTGTGATTAATCACTATACTTTAATTATGTTCAATTTGTAACAATGAAATTGAGGGTCACCACAACATGAGGAACTGTATTAAGGGATCGCGGCATTAGGAAGGTTGAGAACCACTGTCTTAGATTAAAAATACTAGTATTATCCCAGCCCTAGCCAGTTTGCTCAGTGGATAGAGCATCGGCCCACGGACTCAAGAGTCCCGGGTTTGATTCCAGTCAAGGGCACCTACTTTGGTTGCAGGCTCAATCCTTGGCCCTGGTCAGGAAGTGAGTGCGGAGGCAACCAATTGATGTCTTTCTCTCACATCAATGTCTCTCTCTCAGTCTCTCCATCTCCCTTCCATTCTGTCCAAAATCAATGGAAAAATATTCTCGGTGAGGATTAACAATATGTGCGCCCGCGCGTGTGTGTGCCTAATATGCTAAGTATCCGACCGTTCATTCAACCGTTCGACCAGTCACTATGATGCGCACTGAACACCAGGGGGCAGACGCTCCAACCGGTAGGTGAGCTTTGCTGCTGGGATCGGGACAATCAGGACTGGGTGAGTCAGGCTGGACACGCCCTGGAGCCAACCTCCTGTGGTCCCTCCCCAGGCTCTAATATATTTCTTCTAATTAATTTCCTTTCAATGTGCAAAATTTATGCACCCGGCCTCTAATATATATAATTATATATAATATATTTATAATATATATAAAATCCCACTAGACCTTAGCTCCTTGAGGACAGGAAACACGCCCATCTCATGAACTGCCACATCTTTGGTTCTAACAGTAGCATGGTCACCACATACTCAGTACTATGGGCTGGGCACTGTTGTAATACTTTGTATGCATTAACTCAGTTCCTCATCACACCAATCCTATGGGGGTTATCACTGCCCCATTCTACAGATGTGAAAATAAAGTGCAAAGAAATTTGGTAACTTTTCCCAGGTCACACAGGCAGTAGATGATAGAAACGAAATTTTAACCCAAGGAGTCTTGCTCCCAACTCCATACTCTTAACTCTATATAATAGTACAGTGCCTGGGATACAGCGATTTCTTCAAAAACATTTGTTGTCTAACCATTGACTGATGGCTAGGCCCTACTCCACTATCTGGCCAAATTTCAGATGGGAAAAAACAGCTCTGTTTTCTCAGGAGCCGTGCTGTTGGGAAAAAACAGCTCTGTTTTCCGAGGGAATTCTCCCTCACTGAGAGCGACAATACCTCGATTATTTATATCATCACCATTGTCATTATTATCATGTTATAACAACAACGCTTTCCCTTTCCGTATGCCAAGATGTGTGGGGACAGCCAAGTGAGGCCTGAAAGCAGCTACCATGGTTCTCACCTTACAGGGAGTCTGAGGCCAAACGAAGACCAACTGGCAGAGTAAATGCCAGTGTCTAGCCTCCTCCTAGGCAAGAGGCTCTGTCTGAGGGCCGAGGGGCAGGGCTTGTGCCCCTGTGCCAGCCAGGCCCACCTGCAGCTGCGCCCGACCGCTCACCCGTGCTGCTCCAGCAGCCGCAGCCTCACCGCAGCCCTCTGCTCGGGGCTCAGGTCTGGGCAGGCTCTGAGGCCGTGCAGGGCCGTGGCCCAGGCCCCGGGGGACACTCCGTGCAGGATGACGGCCGCCGGCAAGTGGCAGAGCAGGTTCCCCACGATGTCCACGGTGTACTCGTCGGCAATGGAGTTGTTCTGAAACCGACACGCGGCACCATGGCAGGACCCAGCGGGGCCCCACATGGTGGCCCCTGAAAATCACCTCCCACCCCAAACCTCAACGAGCCCTGGGACCTGTCCCAGCCACCCTGCATGGACCAGTGCAGAGAGCCCTGGCCTGACCTTGCCCCGGAAGGCCTGAGTGCCCCCTGGAGACCCAGGGGAGCCCGTGGACAGAGGCCTGGCACAGGGTGAATGGGGTAATGAGGGCTGCCATCGTCCCGTTGCTCTGGGAGACCCCAGAGCTGGAACCATGTGACAGTAGGACGGGAACAAGAAAAGCAGCAGCAGCAGTGTGTGCGGCCCTGGAAAGCCTTCAGCGCTCTCTCTCAGCGTGGCAGGCAGAGCCGGCGTTTCCTGGTGCCCGCCACGCCGGGCCCACGCTAGTGTTTGCAGGTCTCGGTCCACACTCGTCTCCAGAGTAACTGTAAGACGTAAGTGCTAATAACACCCCTTTAAAGACGGAGGAGCTGCCAGCTGGCGGCAAGGCCGGTCCCGCTGGGCTTGGGTGTTGAACAGCACCTCGCCTATGCCGGGCCCCCACAGCCCTGTGCCGGAAGTGCTCAGGCCACGTGCAGAC